AAAAAAAAAAAAAAAAAAAAAAAAAAAAAAAAAAAAAAAAAAAAAAAAAAAAAAAAAAAAAAAAAAAAAAAAAAATGCCAAAGAGTGTTCTTTTAAATGATAATAAACATTTTTTTTTTCAGTAGAGAATCTCCAAATGGATACGCTTTAAATACCAAAATATTTTGGTATGAATAATTGCCATAAATTCATAAGCAAGACATCAGCAACTCTAGATAAAAAGTCTTAGGTTGATGTCAGCGTGGAAGGGACAAGGCGAGGCGTGCTGTTACATGGCTTTTTGAGATTAATAGTTCTATGTTTCGAAAGATGGGGTTAACATGTCTTGGAATGCATCCAATTAAAGAACAAAGGAATCTAAACAGAGCATTAAAATTTTTATTTTTAGAACTGCGCCAATATCCAAATAAATTTTATGTCCCACAAGACAATACATTATACACTATATCCTTAATTTAATATCAACAGACCCTAAAAAGAATTGGCCAATTCTTTTTAAGTACTCTCAACAAACACAAAAAAAAACAAACAGCTTTCAAGCAAAAAGCTACAGTAAACTTGCTTGGCTCTTGAGGTCGCCGAAAGCCGCTTTGGTGTTTGCTTTCACTCTGACAACTTTCCGAGATTTAGATTAGAAGACACATGCAGCTAGAAGTACCGTCATCTTATAGCATCGCTTTTCGCTGCCACTCTGGCATTAGCCTTAAATGCGAAATTGAGCCGAAAATAAGCTACCAAAATTATGAAAGTTCTCATTTACGGTTTTCAGTTCGAATATAGCCGAAACCGTCCCACAAACAGAAAAATTTTCAAACTACTCTATTTGAATACCATCAGCTTCTCCGGCTTTATAATACATAGCTAAAAGCTCAAAAAATATGTCCAAACAATCTTAAAATCAATAGAGTCCCTAAAATATGTGATTTCGGACCACAAATCAGTCAAACCCAAGCCGTACCCTCCTCTAAAACCTATCTATCTAATAGAAGAACTTCATCACTCCCGTGAACTTTATGCTGTAAATATCAGAGATCGTTTAGATATTTTTCATATTCTTTTTTTGAAAACAATACGGTATTATACGAAACTGAACAGAATTTTTTTCTCAAGCTTTTCAATTGCCACTCTTTTCTACTCATATCTATGACAACTGTGGGTGATAAATACAATTCAATCAAAACAATTGTCAATATGTTTATATTTAACTTTATTTTTTCAGTGTAGCAAGCTTAAAGCTCTTATACATCTTCAAAAAGCTACATATTGAAATAAAAAATTCATTAGAGCTTTCTTTGGGTAGCTAACATGTATAAGAGCGGTAACAGTTTAGGTTATATGAGGACAGGTCATGAATTACAAAAAGCGGTAGGTGGGTACGTGTGCTCTTTCTGGACATTTGGTGGTATAGATTTTGGACGATGTTTTTTGGGGACAGTTTATAATACATCAAATATTCAATTTGAATAGCTTTTAAAAATGTTTCTCTTGCTTTAGCCTCCATCTTAGAATATTCGCTGGATATGAAAATTGAACACAATATTGAAGGAGTATAAAAGAGCTTTATTTTGGGAACATCTAATGCAAATAATCAATAATAAGGGAAAGCATGTCACAACCTTTTAGTTCTAACCTTTTGCCGACAAATTTTAGAAATATTTAGCTCTTAAACAGTACATTTAGTTACGAATAATAGTTGAAAAATGTTTTTTGGAACCAACTAATATTTGTAGCGTATGGTATATTGTTAAATCCCTGGTTGTAGCCACAGATTAACTGTCATAACCTAACAAGCAATATTTACAAAGCTTCAATCAATGCTTCGGAAATCTGAAATGCATGAAAACAAGTTTTCCTCTCAACTTTGTGTTAACACTATTGGAAAACTAATTGATCGTTAGTATTCAATCAGTGCATTTGCGGATGTCAAACGAAACTGTTGATTTTGCGTAACAAAAGTGAATTCGTGATTTGTTGAAAAAGTGTGATTAAATATAATATTATTTTGAACGAACAGCATTATATAGAAAATTTACAGATAATTGTTTCTATTTTCTATTTTTATATAGAAAATTTACAGATAATTGTTTCTATTTTCTGTTCTGTACGTACAATTTATAAATCAAAAATGGCAAAATTAGCACTTGAGCTTCTCACGCTGGAAAACAATGTTTTCAAAGCGTATCTCTTCTGGTCCGCAATTTTAGTGTTGAAAATGTTATTCATGTCGCTATTGACGGGATTTACGCGTTTCAGGACAATGGTGCGTATATGTATGTAGTAAGTTATATTCATATTTACGTATATAAAGGGTATTTTTTAGAGGTAAAAAACCGAAATAACCGAAATTTGAATAATTTTATTTTATGAAATGTAGTGTTGGAAAGTGTTAACTTTTGTCAACCGATCATGTCAGACTTTCCAGCCAGTATTTCGTTTACGACTGATTAGATTATTATCTTGACGTACCATCACAAAAAGTAGTCCAACGAGATCAAAGACCAGGATTTGTATGGCCAAATAATAGGTTGATTTCTTCATAAATCACATTAAAATTTCTTAGAAGATAAGGAATTTATAATGACCAAAAAGTAGTGAGACTCTTTCTGTGCCAAATGTCCCATTCAAATAGTTATTAGTGTTTAGTATACGCTTGTTTTTCTGAAGTATGTGCATAAAGTGCATTCGTCGCTTAAAAATATTAGAACCACATTCTTTGTAAGCATAATTCCATATATTTAAATATATATGACCCAATAAAAACTTTATCTATCTATCTCTCTACCGTATTTAAAAAAAGCTTTCTCAAATCAAAGCGCTTTTACTCTCGTTTATTCTATAATTATTTATAATAATATTTTCAAATGTACATTTAATAATTTTTTTATTAAGCTATCACAACTGCAGCTCGTACGCAAGCTAATCACAATGACTATTGCAATGATTATTCAATTATATAGTTATATATAATACTCTAAACACTCAACAATTTTTACTTAGAGTTAATGATTTGTTTCTTGGCATTTGCATTTCCATTTGCGAGAAGTTTCTGATTTGTCTTCCACACCTTCTTTCTCTCTCTTGTTGCGCGATTCTCACGTTTCGTGACTCTCGTCGTTGCGATTACATTAGTCGACGAAATATACATGACTGTGAGCTTTAAGTGATGTATAGGTGTATTTATTATGATATTTATGTATATGTTATCAAAGCAGGTGGCCGTCTCTAAATGCCGGCCGGCGTATTCAACCATTAATAGGCCAACAAAGCTTTCTACAAACATATGAACATTATATAATACATATAGTATATATGTTTTTATTGGATTTTTTATATGCCTAAAGAAAATCATTTGAGGTTTCACTAGCAAATTTTAATATTATTCAATTTAAATGTGAAATAATAATAAACAATACTAAATGAAGTCATCAAAGATGCTCCCATTAAACAACCATACTTAGCCATAATCTTTGATTTAGCTGCTTGCATATTTCAGCAATGATCTGTAAGTTTAAGTTAAGATAATAGGACTGGAGTTCTTTATAATATAAGAGTCCATTCTTCTGAATCCATCGTGCCCTTATATAGTAATTTTTAAAATGATGACACTATCTCAAATCTAAGATGGTTTCCTTAAGCGCTTTAAGGAATGGAAGCCAAGGAGTTTTTGCCTTATTGTCACAAAATAAACAATGAAGAAAGAAGTACTAAGATGGTTCCCCGTCACCATCCTTTATGTAGCTGATATCAATGGCCCTGTGACCGCCCAATGCTGCCCTTTTCTAAGCGTTTGCTGCCTTGTAGCAGTGTAGCAATAATGAAGGCGGTGCCCAAGGACACATGATAATTCTAAGAAAAACCTATGGTACAACTGCTTCAAATCTGATAAAATTGTACATTTTTGATCTTGTTCATAACATGACTAAGTAAGTAACTTGCGTCTACGTCCTAACGAAAGAGAAAAACAAGAAAAAACGTTAACTTCAGTTGCACCGAAGCTAAATAACCTTCATAGGTGCATTTCTGTTAGTAATTGTGTGTTCAGTTTGTATGGAAGCTATATGCTATAGTAATCCGATCTAAATTTTTTTTCGGAGATTATATTATTACCTTAAGCAGTAATCCATGTCAAATTTCATGAAGATAAAACGTCAAATGTGAAAGTTTTCCATACATGAACTTGATTCCGATTGTTCAGTTTTTATGGCAGCAATATGTTATAGTGGTCCGATATTGGCAGTCCCGACAAATAAGCGGCTTCTTGAAGAGAAAATTACGTTTGCAAAATTTCAAAACGATATCTTAAAAACTGAGGGACTAGTTCGTATATATGCAGACAGACGGATAGACGGACAGACAGACAGACGGACATGGCTAAATCGTCTCAGCTCAACATACTGATCATTTATATGTATACTTTATAGGGTCTCCGACCCTTCCTTGTGGATGTTACAAACTTCGTGACAAACTTAATATACCCTGTTCAGGGTATAATTAAACCTCTGGAAGCAAAATATTCACAACGAAATTGTTTATACTTATTTACGAAGTAACCTTAAATTGCTAAAGCTACAGCCAACAGAGTCACTATTCGACTTTTAGCGGGAGATATTTGAAAAATTTGGATATAGTTACGTGAAGAGCTTCCCTTTTTTCGAAATGTGTAGTCAAGTTCTCAGGAAACATGATGAACTCGATCCCCTCGAACAGAAATTCCACAGCCAAATGACATAATGCTTGCTTTACCTATCAATTAAGTAAGAAGAATGCCATGTGGAGGGATCTTTCTAAAGAGCAACGATTATTCACCCCACCTTTTTGAAGTACATTCACTCTCTTAAAATCGAATAGGGGACTTCCGTTCATTTCATTTGAATGCTCCTAATATTCTCTTGATATATCCACAGACCTTCATCAACGAAGAGGATATACTCAACAAACGACTCAAGGTGAAGTACAACGATCCAGATGTGGAGCGAACACGCCGGTAAACCTTTGAAATATAGTTTTGTTTGTGAAATTTTCACTTGCTTTAACACTTCTATAGAGCGCACCGCAATGATCTGGAAAATATTCTGCCGTTTTTCAGCATTGGCCTCTTATATGTGCTGCTAGATCCCAATGCTACTTTGGCCATCAATTTGTTCCGAGCCGTGGGCATCTCACGTATCTTACACACCTGTGTTTACGCCATTGTTCCAGTGCGACAACCGAGTCGACTTTTAGTTTTTCTTGTTACCGCCTTCATCACCATCTACATGGCTTATGAAGTGGCTCGAGCCGTGGCAATGTGAAGGAGAGACATTTAAGCTTTCTTCTTAAAGTAAGAGTTAGACAAATAACAAGAATTTTTTATTTAAAATGAAGATAAGTGTAGTTGATTGTAATATATAGGAAACTCAATGGTTTATATATAATCAAAACTTTTTGGAAAGAGGTGTATTTTTAATATTAATAAAAAAATATAAAACGATGAAACTGAATATTTTTGAGATTCGGGTTTTATAGGAACAGCAGAAACGGATGTAATGTGGGAAAGGTGAGATTTTAGGCTTCATTTAACCAAAAAAATATTAAATTCGGGGAAGTTGAAAAAAAGTTAGTTAGTTTAGTTCAAAAATGAGTGAAAATCATAAAAAATTTGCTATATCTTGAATTTTATATAATGTAAGAATGCCACGTAAGCTACCAATGAAATTTGTGAAGTTTACGGAGACGATGCTGTATCACTTCATGTAGCACAACAATGGTTTACTCGCTTCCGTTCCGGAAATTTTGATGTGAAAGATGCACCTCCCTCTGGTCGACCTACCGTTGAAAAAGTCGACGAAATTATTGAAAATATTAACCACGACCGTCACATAAGTAGCCATGATATCACTAAGGAACTTTACATTTATCATCAAACGGTTTTCAACCATTTAAAAAAGGCTGGCTACAAAAAGAAGCTTGATGTTAGGGTACCTCATGAATTTTCTGTAAAAAATTTAATAGGCCAAATTAACATCTGCTATTCTTTGCTGAAATGAAATGAAATCGAACTATTTCTGAAGCTAATGGAAACAGGAGACGAAAGGTGGATCAAATACGACAATAATGTGCGAAAACGATCATAGTCCAAGCGTGGCGAAGTTTAATAAATGGTCGTAAAGCCATGATTGACACCTCGAAAGGGTATGCTGAGTATTTGATAGGATTGGAAAGAAATTATCCACTATGAGCTGCTCCAGCCTGGTGGTACGATTGATTCTACATTTGAATTGAAGCAAGCTATAGGAACAAACGGGCAGAACTGATCAACAGAAAGGGCTTCGTCTTTGATGTCTCGGGATAAACTGGAAGAGCTTGGCTAGGAAGTTTTGATGCATCCACCATATAACCCTGACCTTGCACCTTGTTTCGGTCAATGCAGAACTCCCTTAATGGAGTAAAGTTGGCTACAAGAGAAGCCAGTGAAAATTAACTTCTTAACTTCTCACAGTTTTTCGCCAAGAAACCAGAAAAGTTTTACACTGATGAAATAATGTCCCTAGCGGAAAAATGGCGAAAGTGGTGGATCAAAATGGTACAAATTTGGTTCATTAAAGTTCATTATAAAAAAAAAAAAATAAAAGTGAAATTTGATTAGACATACGAAAAGACTTTTTCGGCTACGCAATATTTTACGCGAGACTATTTGATAACCTACGATAACGAAGTGTTCTGTCTCTATGACTTCTGATCGGCAGTGTTGGTTGTAAAAATCTTGTTCATGTCAATGTTGAGGGTATGTAACGCCACAAGACAAAGGTTGAGTCAATAAAAATATAATAATAATTAACATATATATATAACAGAAATCTTTATCTAAAAACATGAATATGGATCTCGGCTAGAGAGCGCCAATATTATAATCGAATGACAACTTTTCGATGATATTTGCTATCGAAGATATTATACCTAAAAGCTTATGTTAGTACATTCACATATTCATAGATTTTTTGATAAGAAACTGTGAAATATACATAAATATTTATTGTATAAAACTTAAAAATATTCATGTACGCATGTACAATCACTAGGCGAATATTACTCTGAGAACTTGCCTATCTTATGCTCACAGTGAGTGGAGCAAAACAGATAGTAAATATGCCGCTAGTAAATAAATCTACAAATGTATACACATATGTATGTATATATAAACATGCTATTAAAAGCTCACTGAAGATTCAGCTAGTCAACGACAAATTTTCAGAGTCAACTTAATATTAGTTGGACAGTTGATTTCTACGGCAATAGATCAGTAAATTTTACCGGTTGTAAACATATTTATATTTTTCTAGAAAATCAAAGAAGTTTAGTCAAAGTAAAATGGCGGCAAAAGATTTGATATCGTTTGATAATGAAGTATTCAGTGCCTATGTCTTCTGGTCGGCAGTTTTGGTTCTGAAACTTTTGTTCATGTCATTGCTGACGGCAATTCAACGCTTCCGGACAAAGGTAAATCAGTGAAAGTAATGCAAAAAATAATCATGCTTTTTGGTAAATCAAAGTAAATCGATTTATGTTATATGTAGGTATGTACATATGTATAGAAATTCAAGTTAATTTCTGTAAATGTACGTATGTATGATACAACAGAAATCGACATAAATTTTTATTATGAATATTCATGAACTTAAGAAAAATATTGCCCCGTCATCTCGGTTAGAAAGCGATGAGGTCAAAGTCGAATTGAAAATATTTTCTGTAATATTTGCGTAGAGACTTCACCTATAAGCAAATGTTGGTAAGCAGTTTGTCATAAATCGTTTAGACTTTTTAATGAGCCATTAAGACTTTTCATATGTGCAATAAACAAATGCAAGTATAAATGTAATTACTGTGCAAATATTAATGATACGCAGGAATTTGTACGCGTTCCGTTAAAAAATTTATTTACAGTTTTACACACTCTCTCATTTTTTACTCGTAGGCTTTAAAAGCTTCGTTCACAACACGCTATGCAATAACCTATGATTATATGTATACATATGTATGTATATACTTGTATACAACTTTACAGCATAAAGCACGCCAAAGGCAAATAATTAACAGTAAAGGGTATTCACTTAGAATTCCTAATTATTGTATACCAAAAAAAATAAAATTAAAAAAGCGTAAGTTATCATTGCTCAAAATATCAAAAAGTTTCAATTAAAAATATATTTAACCTAAATGTTAAGCTAAAACATTTAAATACTATTTATGTGGGAAAATTATTTGTCATGAGAGAGTTTTCCATATTCCAAACCGCTTTAAAAGCTAGCTGGAAATACTTTAAAAAGATACGATGTTAGCTTGACTTTAAAATTTTAATCGAGATTTCATCTGAAATGTAAATTTAATAAAAGTTTAATCATTCGACAACGCTCCTAAATGTAGGCAACAATTCACTCTCGCTCGATTAAAATCGATAGTCTATAAAGTTCCTTCGCATTGCTAATCAAATTTCAACTTATTTTATTTTATATTTATAATGAACTATAACTAACCAAATAATAATAATGACAARTAATTTTCACAGGCTTCTCTTGAAGCCAACTTTACTCCATTAAGGGAGTCGAGCATTGACCGATAGAAGTAGTCAGATCGTGCAAAGGCATGGCTATATGGTGTATGCATTAAAACCTTTCAGGCAAGATCTCCCAGTTATTCAAAAAGGTGTGTAGTCAAACGTTGTCCTGATGGAAGACGAAGCCCTTTCTATTGATTAGTTCTGTCTGTTCTGTGTTAGAATCAATCGTTTGACCAGGCTGGAGCAGCTCATAGTGGATGATTCCTTTTAAATCCCACCAAATACTCAGCATAAGCTGTCGAGGCATCAATCCTGGCTTTACGACCATTTATTAAACTTCACCCCGGTATGATCGTTTTCGCACATCATTGTCGTATTTGATCCGCTTTTCGTCTCCTGTTACCATTCACTTCAGAAATGGTTTCATTTCATTTCAGCAAAGAATCGCAGATGTTAATTCGGTCTATTAAATTTTTCACAGAAAATTCTTATTGGACCCATACATCGAGATTCTTTTTGTAACCAGCCTTTTTTAAATAGCTAAAACCATTTTGATGATAAATGTAAAGTATGTGACGGTCCTGGTCAATCTTTTCAATAATTTCGTCGACTTTTTCAACGGTAGATCGACCGGAGCGAGGTGCACCTTTCACATTAAAATTTCCAGAACAGAAGCGAGCGAACCATTGTTGTGCTACACGAATTGAGACAACATCGTCTCCGTAAAGTTCACAAATTTCATTGGTGGCTTACGTGGCATTCCTACTTATTTTAAACAAAAATTTCAAAATATAGCGAATTTCTTCATTATTTTCACTCATTTTCAAGCTGTAACTTTTTTCCAACTTCCCGAATGCAATTTTTTTTTAATTAAATGAAGCTTAAAATCTAACCTTTCCAACACTATATGGTATGACATAATGTGATTGGTAGCACTGGAGATATATGATTGCAAGGGCATCTATTTTTTTTTTTCGACTACCTAATATATTATATTGATTGAAAAAAGGAATTAACAAAGAAATCGTCAACAAAATTAAGCCTGTTGGGTGAAGAAGAGGAAGTTTCAACAACTCGCATACTCGTTTCCCACAGAAAAATAGAGTGTGTTTTAACAGCGACCGACATGTTAGCCGTCAATGCCGATTATGTTATTTGCAGTTAGGCTGTTGAAGATTAGGAATTAACATAAAATATGTTCATACTTAACGATCTATCTTGTTTCCTCTGAAATATTTTTGACTGTAAATTTGGATTAATATGTATTAGTGTTAATACATGAAACTAGTTGTCCACAAAACCGAAATCTAAATAAGTATTTCGCAACATTCACTCAATTCTACACACATTTGTATTCTTACAGACCTTCGCCAATCCCGAGGATTTGATGGACAAACGTCTTAAAGTGAAATTCGATAATCCTGACGTTGAACGCGTGCGCAGGTATGTAAATAAGTGCCTTTCTTAATCTTATACTATAAACGTCTTTTGTATTATTTGACCTTCAGAGCTCATCGTAATGATCTGGAAAATATTTTGCCATTCTTCATCATCGGCTTCCTCTACGTGCTGATCGACCCAATCCCAGCTCTGGCCATCAATCTCTTCCGCGCTGTGGGTATTGCACGCATTGTGCACACAATTGTCTACGCTGTTGTTGTTGTACCACAACCCAGTCGYGCATTAGCATTCTTCGTTGCTTTGAGTGCAACAGTCTACATGGGCTTCCAGGTAGTGATTGCCTCCTTGTGAAAACGCTTTGTGTAGTCTAAGCTATGATTTTCACTCTCACGAGTGTTTATTGTAATAATAATACTAATTCAGTTAAGAAATTTGTACAATCATTTTTGTAGTAAAAATTTTCTTTCAAAATAATAAAAAAAATAGTATACAAATTTTTTTTTCATAAGTTTCTGAAGTGATATTGGCTTAAATTTGCAAAACCGCCTTTAAAGATTCCGTGTTGTTAGCAAAAATACGAATGCTGCCTTTTACTTCGGAGTCACTGATCAAAAAAGAAATATTAATAATCGAAAATCTGTTTATTGCCTTTCAACAAATTCTCCAATAAAACATATATACACTTCTTCATGCATTTGAACCAATTATCGAAGTTCTTTTGCCACTGATTGAAGTAAATATCTTCAAAACATGCGTTCTGAACGTATCAACACCTATACTGGTATACTGAGCGTAATATTCGCAACACTATAACCCCTATTGAGACCCTGCATTCATTATTGGATAATATTGACCGAATAGACCATAATCGGCACAGTGAAGAAAACATAGCAAACGTAGCTGAGAGGGTACACGAAGACCGTACATATCGTTCGCAGCAGCTCCAACTACGTGTGGAACGACTTGGCACATTTTACGCCGAGATCTTAAATATCGCTTCACTCTTCGCATCTTGAAAAGTTCCAACAAGTGCCAAAGTTTACGAGCCAAATTTTGTTCAGCGATGAGGCCCAAAGGTACGTAAACAAGCAAAATTGCTTCATCCAAAAAAAAAAAAAAAAAATTTCATGTAGTCTGTTGGTGGTCGAGCCGCTGAAATCATCGGTCTATATTTTTCAAAAATTATACCGTTGAGAACGTAACCGTTAATGGCGTCAGTTATCGCGTCATGATAACCAACTGTTTGATCCCTGAAATTGAAGTTGGTGATCTCGGCGACATTTGGTTTCAACAAGACGGCACCATCGCATCATTCATTGAATGAAATTATTTATTGAATGAACACTTCGGTGAGAAAATACTTTCAAATTTTGGGCTGGTCGATTCATATCACGTCGTTAAATTTTTTCCTGCGTGGACATAATACACCCTGTTCAGAGCTTAAAAATAAAAATAACTAAAATTTCGCACGACTTCTTCAAATCATAAGAAGAGGAACAAAATACAAGGTAATACTTTGGATAATAATTTTTTATTGATACCGTTTTTGTAACAGTAAACAAGGAAATACTTATTCGATTGCTAAATGAATTTATTTTTTTAACTTCGTCCAGATGTAAATATGGTTTTATGACATAAACGGCTGTTGTAACCTTGAATTCTATTATGTATATTATAATTTTATACTTATATAAATATGACTTCAAAAGCTCAATGGAGATTCAGCTAGTCAACGACCAATTTTTCAGAGTCAACTTACTACAATTAGTTGGTCAGTTGACTAACGCGGTAGATCAGTAAATTTTACCGATAGTAAAAATTAAGAAAATTAAAGTAGTTTATTTAAAGTAAAATGGCGGCAAAAGATTTGATATCGTTTGATAATGAAGTATTCAGTGCCTATGTCTTCTGGTCGGCAGTTTTGGTTTTGAAACTTTTGTTCATGTCACTGCGGACGGGTAGGCTCCGCTTCAAAACACGGGTAAATCAGTGGAAATATTAAATAAATTATATACATACATAAGAGATATCGACGTAAATCTTTAGACAGACAACCAAATGAAATGCACTGTGCTAATGAAATGTACTGTGTTCGGAAGAGGTGCGTTCAAAAAATAAAGAGGGCAGACGCTAAGATTTGACTTTTTTAATGCGCTGATGGAAAATTTCGTTTGTTAAACCCTCACATTTCGCTGCTTGCTCGTGAATTCTTGGCTCCTTTTTCAAAAATAGACATAACCTTCAAGGACCGTTGTTTACAAGCTGACGAATGTGAGTTTTATGTCAGTTTGTAAAGAAATGTCTCTTTAAGGTTATCGTTATTTTTGAAACAGGAAAAAGCTAAAAGGAGCCATGTCTGCCTAATATGGAGGATGATTTATGGTTACAATACTGAAGAAGCTAAATCCTTTAGGGCTATTCCAAAAATTGAGCTTAAAAAGTGTTTCGACGATTCAAAGAATGCTGGTCTGGCATCAGTGCACAATATCGAATGAGAACAATTGTGTAGACAACAACATTGGCGTAGACGAATAATTAAATATTTTTTGTAACAAAAATTCAAATTTTTATTTTAAACACACCTTATATATGTATATGGTATACAGGAATTTGTACTCCTTAAGCCATAAAATAGTATATTTAATGTTTTACATGCTGGTTGTTTTTATTATCGGACTTTGGTTGCTTTCATTAAATTAAGGTTACAAAAAACCGATTTAGATTCGCGTATGTACATATTATATATACGGAAATTGGTTGCCTAAGACAATCCAGACGCAAGTGCTTAGCTGTAATGGTATATTAATTGTGCCTTATTAGAAACTAAATTACATTTTAAAAAATAAGCAAAATTAATTAAATGCAGTTATCACTTGTGAAATGCTGCCACCACACTTTATTTATATTAACAAAGTATATTTTACCAATTTCCTATTTTGCTCCAATACCTTTTGACATTTTTCGGGCAAGAGATTGATAAAGCGCTTCTAAAATTATTCATTCTTACAAGCATAAAACTAGTCCCATGCAAAAAATGTTGCAGGGATCGGAACTAGTTATAGTTCGAAAGTGCAAAGTCCAGAGAATATGGTGGATATGGCAGCATATCCCATTCAAGCAGCACAAGGTTTTGGCGCGTCATTAAATTTGAATAAGTTCTCACTTTATTACGACGAAACATTACCGATTTTCTGTTGATCAATTCTGGCCTCTTCAGTTTGATTTCATCACTCAATTTATCCAGCTGATCACATTATACATCAGAATTGATCGTAAAATAGTCGGGAAAAAGCTTAAAAAAACGATCCTTTTTGCTAGTGACAACAAAAATGGATCACTTTTTGATGTTTCTGAACAATTTCGCGAGAGCTTGTGAAACCCACATGACAAGCTAATCTTAGACGTTTCATGTGAAAATTCAAAATATGGTGCAAACTGGGACACCCTGTACGCTAATAGATGGAAAAAATAAAAGTACTCCAATTTCAATGAAATTTAGTTTGTGTTATCTTAAAAAGTGAAAATATAAAATCTCCACCTTAAAAATGTATAATAGTAAATACGAACTGCAGTCAATAAACGAAATTACTTAGTGAACGAACCAATATTTTCTCATACCAAAAAAGGATATAAAAATATCTTTATCTTGAGTTTGGTCAGCAAATTTCTATTTTCGAAGATTCTACCATTGCATTGGGCAAAAAACTATGTCAAATCGTGAAGACATCACCGTCAAATAGCTCGGTCAGGTGAACAGCGTGGCTCGTCGTGTCAATGTCCTACTCTCCCGTTTAACCGTTTATACGCAAACTAGTAACTCAGTTTATGGGATATCGTTCTGAAATTTTGCACACGTTCTTTTCCCCTTAGAAGCTGTTCGTTTATTGGAACCGTCGGTATCAAACCACCATAGATATAGCTGTCATACAAACTGAACGATCAGAATCAAGTTCTTGTATGGAAAACGTTTTTATTTATTAAGATATCTTCCTGAAATTTGGCATAGAATATTACCCAAAGCGACAGTAGAATTTCCGAACAATATTCTCAAATCGGACAACTATAACATATAGCTACCGTAAAAACCGAAGAGGAAGAGGACGTTAAAACAATTACACTCAAGCCTAAAATGTAGATTGTGTTTCAAGAGGTGTCGCCGCCTATTATAATAATTATAATTCGGCTATTAATGAGAATTATAATAATATAAAAGATGTTCAAGTTTTGCAATTGAAAAATTTGTTTACTGCAGACATATGACTTTAAATATCTTCATAACATTAATGAAAAAACGCATCAGAACATTAACTCTAACAAAACACAACACTCATATACTTACAGACCTTTCTCAATCCAGAGGATTTGGTTAAAAAAGGTTTTAAAGTGGGATTCGATAATCCCGATATTGAACGCGTGCGCAGGTAAGTAAATGAACCATAAACCATAACGCTCTTTACTATTTTTCGACATTCAGGGCACATCTCAATGATCTGGAAAACCTTTTGCCATTCTTCGTGATTGGTTTCCTCTACGTGCTGATCGACCCAACCCCTGCTCTGGCCATCAATCTCTTCCGTATTGTGGGCATTGCGCGTATTGTGCACACAATTGTATATGCTGTTGTTGTTATGCCACAACCCAGTCGCTTAATGGCGTACTTAGTTGCTTTCAATCCAACAATCTACATGGCCATCCAGGTAGTGATTGCCGCTTTGTAGAAATGCCTTGTGAACTTTGAGCAATGATTTTCACTCTCGAGAACAACATCTTGTGGAAACAAAAAAAAAAAACTGTCTATAAGCACTTGATTTTGACGAATTAGAGAGAAAAGGCCGTGAGCAAAATTTCTGACCCATAACAAGAGTAATTATTGCAGTAAGTATATTAAATAAAAAAATTACAATAGTTTTTGGTTAAAAAAAAATGTAAATGATTTATTTTAAAATAATAACACATGTAATAAGTTCTGTGAGAGAGGTGTGTATAAATAAATATATATGGAAGTTAACAGAATTATTATATATGTATATATATACTATATATAGAATTATATCGCGCAATATAATAATAAACAAATTTCTGATGCTGAAAAGTTTCAGTCAGACAAGGCTTTCAGCAATAATTGTTTGTCGCAAGCAAGGGTCTTTGATTCGTATAAATAATTCAAAATGGGTCGAGATCACTTTGATTACGAATCACGTCCAGGATGGCCATCAACTTCAACTGATGATCAACGCAACACGTCAATAAAATAAAGGAGTTGGTGCTTCCTTCTTGTTTTTTTTGAAGGAGAAAATTGTTGAGAACAAACCTGAGAACATAGCTGACTGATCAAAATTTAGTAAAATTTGTTACAACCGAAGGAACGAATATTCGCCTAGACATAAAAGGGTGGCATACGGGTACGGTTGGATTTGGACAATTTTTCTCAGATCAGATAGATTAGATATTTGTTAATATTCAAGATATACATATATTGGAAAGGCATATATGTATGCCGATTGCATTAAAAATAAAAAAAATTTTGATCTTTCATGAAATGAAGTAAGATACTCGGATTTGTTTGTATGTGTAGTGCTGTACAGTCTCTGCTAGACYAGATATTCTTTTAACTAAGTAATTCTGCATGTTGCCAATATGAAGAAAATAGTTCGCAACCAGAGAAAAAATTTCTCTTTAGTAACGATGCTTCAACATAAAAATTACTCAATACTGAAATTGAATATTCGAATTTTCCAAAGATTTATTTTGGTATTGAATTTCCTACTGGGTCGTTCACTAACATATTGCATACTCTCTTATACTGGTGCTTTTATGCTCACACAAAACAGTTTGACAAATACTCACATCTACATATTTGCTTTTCTTTTTGCTTTCAAAAGCGAAAACCCCGCATAGTCTCCAAACCAACACTTCTCTCTCCAATGTTCATGCATATTCTCCACTGTATCGACTGCTGTTTGGCTCCTGTTGCCTGTGAAGAAACCAGCTCACTATTGTCACGCATCGTATTAACTCGCTCAGCAAGCCAACACGACAGAATTTCGAGCACATTAGAGAAACAACAGCAAGCAACTTGTACCTGCCTATAAATTTCTGTACAGGCCAAAACAGATTTTGTACACTTCGTTCGTAAGAACATTTGTCAGTCGCTATTGAAGAGATCGCTGATTTGGACGTCAGCCTCCAGAGTGAATTTGCTTTTTTCTCGGCATTTTTTTTTAGTAAAAGGTTAGTGTGAAAAAAATATCAATAGCTGCTACAAAGTGTAAACTATAATAAATAATCGCTGTTTTTTTATTTAAAATAGAATTAATCAAAATTTTCTTGTTTGTGAACTTAGTGAAATTCTGTATTTTGTGAACTTCAAGCCTTTGTAAGTGATATGTGACCGCAAAGTGCGCCTCATACCGGGCGGCAATTATTTACAACCACTTCTATGTTAGTAATTTTCACTTCAAATGGAAATTGTATCAACTATTGTTGAGGAAACTGTAACAAAAATTGTTTAGAAATGTGAGAATGTGAAGTAGAACATGCAAAAAAGTCTTAAATCCTTAATTTGTAATTTAAATGTAAATTTCTTTTGTTTTCATGCAAATTAAAAATTAAGGCAACTTTTGTTGAAAATTATCAGTTTTACTGCAAAATAGTTAATTTCCAGAACAATGTTAAATTATTTATATATGTTTTCACAGACAAGTTCTTTCGTCGACCTCGCAACTAATTCGGCCCCCCAAAAGCTGTCTATATAAAACAAAACAACGTGGCTGGTTTATTGAACTATGTATGAGTATACCTATTTCAATGTGGAGTGCTTATGCACCTAACATATGTACATAAATATAGTGGCTACATACATATATGTATATAATATAGATACTTTCTGTGCAGATATATTAAAAAATACAGTGTGTATGTACAGTGAAAACTCTATTAAACGGACGCTCTATTAAGCGAACATCTCCACTAACCGGACAGAGACGCTTTTCAGCTGACTCTGGTAGTGTCCGCTTATGAGAGATTTCATTGTTTTTTGCATAATGTTGTATGTAATCAAACACGTGTGTTAAAGTGGATAGTGAAATTCATACGTGTGCCTAAAGAGCGAGTCATCAGGTGAACATAAAAAAAAAATATTATGTACATAAAATAGATATCAATGTATATTTTAAGTATTTTTATACCCTGAACAGGGTATTTTAAGTTTGTCACGAAGTTTGTAACACCCAGAAAAAAGCGTTGGAGACCCTATAAGGTATATATATATGAATGATCAGTATGTCGAGCTGAGTCGATTTAGCCATGTTCGTCTCTCTGTCTGTCCGTCTGTCTGTATGTATATATACGAACTAGTCCCTCAGTTTTCAAGATATCGTTTTCAAATTTTACAAACGTCATTTTCTCTTCAAGAAGCTGCTCATTTGTCGGAACGGCCTATATCGGAGCACTATGACATATAGCTGCCATACAAACTTAACGATCGGCATCAAATGCTTGTATGGAAAACTTTCACATTTGGCAAGATATATTTACGAAATGTGGTATATATTATTTTCTGAAGCAACAATGTAACCTCCAAAATATTGTTCAGAACGGATTACTAAGCTTCCACACAAACTGAGCATATAGTTACTAACAGAAATGCACCTGTGAAGGGTATTTAGCTTCGGTGCACCCGAAGTTAACGTTTTTTCTTGTTTTCATTAAATAATATATTATTTTACTGCCGGAAAATCTATTTATCGAAAGCACAAGCTTTCAACTAATTTCCCGAGGAATGGACCTTAAAATGTCAACGTATTCATTTTTGAACTTCACTTATTGATAAAAAATAGTATTATGTGTGCTCACAAGTTTTCTAGCCAAAATTATGTATGAACAAGAAAAAACGTTAGTTTTGGTTGTACAGAAACTGTGGCAATACCCTTCATGAGGGCATTTCTTCTGACTTAAAAGTGTATAAAAAAATTTTTAACTTAGTCTTGAATAATTCTTGAAACCGGATTAACCAGATTTTGAGTAGTTTTAAAGTGCAGTTTCAGCTTTTTTTTTATTCCCTTAGATCCGAATTGTATATTGCGATTCCCAAAATCTAAGTTATGAAGTTAACAAAAAGTTGAGAAAACATGTAATTATGTAGCCACAGATTAATTACGTTTCAGTAAAATATCAGACTACTAAGGAAACACCGAGACCAGAACTACAAAGTTCAGAACAAAATCTACAATCAAATTCAAATATTTTGTAGTCAGACCTTAACTATAACAGAAACCTATATAATTTTCACAACTGTTGATATGTTTGGTTGCATTGAAGAGTTCGTAGGTCCTCGGTCTTATAACAAAAAAATTCAGTGCGCTATCTTTTTACTATCTGTTTCTAAAGTTTTCTCTTTTAATCTTCAATTTCTCATATTTTTGCACAATCATGATGGGTCAATTACTTGGTTTGGCCATACCTCGGCATTAAGTACTTTTCTGTGTTGTCTAAAAAAGTTATCAACTTTATCGAACCTACACTTGAATTCGATTTTAAAACTATGTATAAAATTTAGAAAAAAAATTGTTAACAGAAGAAAAAATATGTGACTGCGGAAATATACATATCTATTAACACTTTGGCTGCCAAGCGAATTTGACAAAATCCTTCACTACATTTTTCTGCAGTTATCAGCATGCCCAGAAAACATTATCAACAATATCAAATTAATTTTCGCGTCGCATAGAAAACCATTTAAACGTTGAATGACGAGCAACCCCTGAAAATTTCGTGCCACTTAGTTGATAGTGTTTTCTATTAAAAAAAACCAAAGAAGTATTGATACAAGATTAAATCTCTAATCAAGTACTTCAAATGAAATTATCAACCAAAGTAGGGAAAATAGCATAGGACATACTTTTTGAGTTGGCAAATTCCTTACGAGAAATTAAAGAATTTTTTTTTTAATCAAACTGTCACCTAAGTTGCAAAACACTGTATCCCTTAAATCGAGTTTTTTTATTTTGTGAATTTTAGCAGCTTAGCCCTAATTGTTTTCAATTTGTCGTATAATTGATCAACTGGCTAATTGGATAATTAGTACTTGGACAACAAATTAGTTTAAAAGTTCTTATACAGTTTAGAAAATTGCAAAATAAAACGTTAGAATTCACAATATATTTGCTCTAATTGCTTGGATAATGTACATTGATTTGAACCCTAGTACCCATAGCGGTACCAGAGGTAGAAGACGTGGAAATTTCATTTAGAGTGGGCAATACTACACCGGTTTTTTCTATAACTGTCCCTTCATTTTTTCCGTAATTTAAGTTCTATATGACCCATTTTTCCATACCTATAATTTTCTTTATTCCTTATTCCTTCATGCCAAGTTCTAATATATTGGGTAGTCGAAAAAGTATTTTCGTTACAATATTGAATAAAAATTTGATAAACTTTACATTATATGAATATTTTGCCGGAAGTCCAGACAATTACCATTACTCATATAATTTAATTAACGTCTAGTAAGACACGAATATACCCTTTTACAAATATCTCTTTTTCATAGATTATTGCTATTAAATTGAGGTTACAAAGTTATCAAAAAATACAATGTACTCAGTAAGTACAAAAATAGGAAATACGACAATGTAAAGAGCAAACATGTTTAGTTTTTTATTTTAGTAAAAAAATTAATTAATCAATTCCAGTTTTCTATTTTAGAAAAAATTTAAAAATCTCACAGTCTTCACATTGAAATTATGAGTTTCAGTTTTCCAAAGGGGTATTTGGAAACTATTAGCACATTATATTTGGAACGTGTATGTTTCAATAATTACGTGACAAATAAGCATTAGAAATGAATTAATTACTCAGGTAAACTTATCACGCTTAATATTTGTATGTGTGTGGTTTCCATAGAAACTTTTGATAAGAATTATTAAAGCTCTGCTTAGAGTGTCAAAGTTGCTTAAAAATGTTGAATTAATTTTATAAATGAATGGGTAGATGGCTTGTTCGATTGGCTAGTAGACGTTGTAGGCGGTATCTTAATTGAGTGAATTATAAAAATTTTATGAATTATAAAAATTTACTCAATTAGGATAATAAATATAATATTATTAAAGCTCTGCTCCAAAATTTCTAAAATTTTGAATGAATTCTGTAAATGGATGTGTAGAAGATCTGTTCGATTAGACGGTTTCTTAATTGAGTCAATTAACAAATAACTGATTCAATTAAGATAATATTCGAAAAATAATCAAATATTTCGAGAATTATTAGTAGTTAATTAAACTTAAGTCTTTAAAGGACAATCTCAAACAAACTTTAAAATATTTCAACTATCATTTTTAAAGATTTTGTTATCCAAATAAACTCCATTAATTTTATAGTATTATTATATTTTGCTTTCTAAAACTAGTTTTAAATGAAACTAATTTTCTGTATAATTTTTATATTATATACATATATTCATCTGCGATTTATGAAAACCTTGATAAAGTGATCTTTGAAGGCGATAACTTCTGCTGTACTTTCTAAGAATAGCTTGCTGTGAAGTTTTTGTGAAAGTTGTCTTCTTAGGTGAATTGTATTTACTTTGCCTAATATTTCCTTCCTTATCTCTTAAACTCAAAACTGTGTAACGAATACAACTCAAGATTACTGGAGCTGAAATACTAAGAGTCCATTAATTAACGACAAGCTTTTATGTTTGCAATTTAGTCTCAATTAACGTCAATTTTTGGTAACGACTAATATTGTTAATGGAACACTTCAAAAATTTTATGTACTGAGGTGTGAAAATAATTGGTTAACTTTGTTAATTGAAATTTAAATATCTTTTAGAACTGAGGTGTGAAAACCACTTTCTAACCGGCGTACGAACTGTGGCTACGTTAAAAATAGCTAATATATCTAAATAAATCTCACGTAATTCCTTAATAGATTTTGAAGCTTTTAAAATTGTTTAAACATGATTGAGCTTATTTGTATAAATTTATAAAAGCATAAATTATATAATGTTAACATTTTATATAGGTACTGGTGCTTATAATCGCAGATAATAAAAATGTATTTTATAACCAATCGGGAGAAACCTTGGGGGCCAAACCAGCACTTTTTGTGAGATAAGTAAGGTCATATCACCTATACAACTATATTATATAAGTCTAATTGCTATTTTCAAAACTTGTTTGTAGTGAGATACGGAGATGAATATGATAAGAAATTAAAAACATATTTTTCTTATTCTGAATTTCTTTCGAACAATCACACTTTTACGTTATCAATTCCGCTTGCCCAAAATCGGAAATATGAAAAATAAGTGTCTCACAACGGATGCGCTAAGTTTTGGTATCACTTACCGAAAATATTTTTGCAATAAATTTATCAGTAGTTCGAGCACGATTGTATTTTCATTTGTGTTATCTTCATTATGTTGGAAGTTTAGTAGATATTCTCAGCGTCGAATGTTAAGAGAAATGCGAATTTAAAATTCAGAATTAGTTTCTAAGCAATAGGTTTAGACCGCATCGGTTCCTATCAGCAGAAACTTTCATAACTAGGTATATGTCAACTCTTTTGAAAATACCTACATTGTATGAATATTAGAGCGGGTAGAGTTTTTTCTGTAAAATCGTGTACTCGTGAAATGTTCTACGGATCATTCTGAACATCTCTGCCTAAGAAATTACGAGCTGACGATTTTTAAGGTGAAGTTTAAAAAATCTGAATAACCGGTTGTGTAGATGAAATGTGATATGGTTGTTCGATCCTAGAAATTCCAACAAATGATCAATATAATATGAAAATAATACATATTAAATTTCACTGGAATATCTTAAAAACTGACTAACAAATTTTTTAATCCATAAAAAACTTCGCCTTAAAAAACTCTCACACTAAACCAGTTTCAGACCCATAGTCTTTTAGCAAAGTTGCTCAGAATGATCCGCCCTGTAAATTAACTCGCTCTAACGTTTGTGTACTACAATATATACTTGCATGTATGTACAAGTTCATACAGACAGGAGCTCTAATTAGTTTCTGTGATTGATTGCATTAATACCGAAAGCAAACAACAATGTTTTTTATTTGTTTTCGACGAGACAAACATAGATATAAAATAAAATTGACATTATTGTCTTTTCCATATCACTATAAAACCCAGTTAATATGTTCTAAATTACATATCTATGCATTTCCTACTTTTAGTATTCTTTCAGTTATTACAATTTTTAACCCTTGTGCGGGAACCCAAAAACCAGAAAAACAAGCGGCATCAATAATATTACAAAAGACAGCTGGACGATTGTTTTAGAAGGGATTGGAAAGAAATTCGATTGGGATAAATGTTTTATACTCAGTACCTCTAATATTAATCCCGACAAGATTATCGTATAAAATGCGTCTAATGACAAGAAAAAAAGAAAAATCAGGAACTAATATATGTCCAGCTGGTCATATTTAGAAAGTGGATGGTTTAGTTCCCTAGACTTGAGTTGTTTTTCGATAATTTGTGGCATTTCGTAATGTCGGTATAACATTGTCTGCATATATTTGCAATACTCCCTCATTTTCTGTTTCAGAAACTCATCCTGATCATTTGGTACGTAATTAGTATCATCGCTGTGACATGACAGTCATGAGTACCATCTTCGTCATATATGTCATATATCCAACAGTTTGTTCAGATTATATTTTTTCATTCTTTTGACGGTATCAATTTTTGGGCCTACAATTTTTTTCTAAGATAGCCCCTATAGAGCACAATAAAAGAACATTTTCTAAAAATTCTGAAGGCCTCAACATAGGTTGTAGCTGTTCCTCGGCTTGGCGGAGGGATCATACTTAGACTGTTATGTTTAGTACTCAATCACAAATCTGCTAAGTTATTTCCTGTCAAGCTCACCAGCCTTAGAGTTTTCTTCAATATTGCTGTGGCCAGGCATCCAAGACAATCCAATCATAGAAAAATTCGATCCGAGAGATAAGTGCATCAGTTGCTGAAGCACAATCAGCGAAGGCGGATATTACGGCCTATCTCGAGGGTAAACAAGTATGAGCAGGAAACTGACAGTTAGGGCTAGGCTCGGTGACCTAATAACCTCAGGCCTGAAGATAATAATTTCAAAAATATGGCATTGTATAAGGATAACATAACATTCAGAACTATTCTGAATATATAAGTTCTTTTGTATGATAGAATTCGGTTTCTGTACATGGGTTTCCGCACAACGTTTAAATGGGTAACAGAAGTAATACGTTATCAGTTATATGTATTGATACACGTTTTTTGATAAAGAGTTGAAACGAATGTCTTGATGCCATGTTTTGTACACATTTATTTAAAAAACAAATATATATAGCATATATGTGTATATTATTTAATTTGAAGTTCGAAGCGTGTGAACCCCGGAAGATCACTCCAAGCTATAGCATATGATAATTAAACAAAAATGAAAGAAATGGCGCATTTCTAATTAAATTTTTTTTATAAGAAATAAATAAAATAAAGAATGAAATTAAAGCTGAAGGGAACCATAGGGGGATTTTTATATTACATCATTTTTGCGATGCTCTATAACAGCAGTAAAGGTTGTTCTTAAATCAAGTATTGTTTTTTCTGTTCTTTTCCGGCTTTTTTATGTTCTGTTTTGACGATAGCCCGCCTATTTGTCACGTATTTTTCGGATTTACAGGTAAGGTTAGCTTAGATTATCTTTTTAGAAGAGCTGAATGTAATATCAAGTTCAGGTGTAGCTAAAGTTTCAGGATTGAAGATTAAGTTTAGTCGGCTAAAATTTTGTAGACTTTTTTCTAAATCCTTTACACCCTTCACTTTCAATAGTTCGCTTCTAACAACTAAGATCCGCAACTACTCTTGCCTTCCTTTAGATAATTTATAATGCCTGCCAACAAACCCTATGAGCGCCCAAAGGACTTCATCGATCCTGGTCTGCCTTCAAAATGCACATGGCATTTAGGCACGAAAGAGAAGACACCACACATTAAACGTCCCATGTAAGTCAACTTTCACCCTACATAATATGCAATGCTTTACATATTTACAATATTTTACAGAGCTCACCGTCAAAAGCTTACACCCGATATATTGGAGGTTATTGGCTGCACACCCTTAGTCAAGTTGAATCATATACCCCAAACTGAAGGAATAAAGTGTGAGATGTGTAAGTTGCGCAGTCTATTTATGCACCTAACGGTACAGATTAATATAAAATCTCCTAATCAGATGCAAAATGTGAGTTTCTCAATCCCGGTGGTTCCGTAAAGGATCGCATTGGTTATCGCATGGTACAAGATGCCGAGGAGAAGGGTCTGCTCAAACCGGGCTGTACGATAATCGAGCCCACCTCTGGTAACACCGGTATCGGTATTGCCATGGCGTCTGCTGTTAAAGGCTACAAGTGCATAATCGTAATGCCTGAGAAGATGTCCAATGAAAAGGTATCGGCGCTACGCGCCTTGGGTGCCAAAATTATACGCACACCCACCGAAGCGCCCTACGACAGCCCTGAAGGTTTGATTTGTGTAGCACAGCGTTTGCAAAAGGAACTACCAAACGCCGTAGTCTTGGATCAGTATCGCAATTCGGGAAATCCACTGGCCCATTACGATGGCACTGCGGCCGAAATCCTATGGCAGACAGACAATAAAGTCGATATGGTGGTAGTTTGTGCTGGCACTTGCGGCACAGTCTCCGGCATTGGCCGCAAAATCAAGGAAGAATTACCGAACTGTAAAGTAATTGCTGTGGACCCATACGGTTCGGCATTGGCACGCCCGGAAGTGCTAAATAAGTCAGACGTACAATTTTATGAGGTGGAGGGCATAGGTTATGATTTCACGCCCACGGTAAATGATTACAACGTAATAGATTCATGGGTTAAAGTCGATGACAAACAAAGCTTCCTCATAGCGAAACGTTTGAATGCCGAAGAAGCATTGCTAAGCGGTGGCTCAAGTGGCGCTGCTATGTGTGCAGCACTAAAAGTGGCCAAAGACCTGAAAGAGGGTCAACGTTGTGTGATCATTTTGCCCGATGGCATAAGAAATTACATGACGAAATTCGTTTCGGATAACTGGATGGAAGCACGTGACTTTAAGCCAGTAATAAACGAACACAACCACTGGTGGTGGGATACACCGGTGAGTGCGTTGAACTTAAAAGCGCCGTTGGTGCTCAAATCAGATGTGAGCTTTGCCAAGGCGATCGAGACACTCAAAGAACACAATGTGACACAAGTGGCGCTCACAGACGCCGATGATGGGTGAGTGTGTGTCACAGGCTAAAACCTGTATAAACCCGTTATAATTTTTGTTTTCTTTTGTCTCGCTTAGCACACTTTTGGGCGCTGTACTGCAAGAAACGCTGATCAATCAAATCGTAAGCATGAATCGTAAAACGGATGAACCTGTGGTCAAGGCAGTCAACAAACGTATTATACGTTTGCCTTCCAATGCTATTCTGGGTAAATTGGCGCGCATTTTGGAACTGGATCCTTGTGTGTTAATCGTGGATACGGAAAGTGAGTTTGACAGGCATTTAAACAAATTTTAATTTCAATAACTAATTTTAACATTTTCTTGTGTAGACGAGAAAGAAGTCGTTAAGGGAATTGCCACGAAATTGGATGTGCTTGCCTTCGTTGCAAGTGGTGCCCCACAAACTAATGGCACCAATGCTCAATAGTATCCTTTGACATGCAACCGAACTTTTAAAGAAGCTTTTATCAATTCCGTTAGTGATGTGACCTAACTAACTTTTGTTGTAAAATCGTGCGCGACAATACAATTGTTTTGAAAAGTTTACATTTACAAATCCATGACTAAGAGACTACGCAAGCATCACTTGTAATGAATTAGAAATCTCTAAAAAATTCACGATCTAATTTGTAAGATACTTAGATTTAAGATAACACAACGATACTGTAACGCATTAATTATTCAGTACTTTGTATTCAGTTTGAAAAGTTTTTAATAAAATAAAATTTAATATACAAAATTATTTTATTAACCTTCCTTCATATATGAAGAGTTATTAAAAATAAAAGTACTAACTTGGACGCCTTGGATCTCCTCTGGATTATTGGTGAGTGGTTGGTGATCAGCTTTACACATTTCTTTATGATGCTTGTTCAAAAATTAAATTTGCAAATATTAGTTGCCTGCAATTATTCTCACTTGCACATTTAGCACATATCACAGCGTGTATAACACCTTATTTTTTCAAAGAATGCAATTTCAGCATTTGATTTATCAACAAAACACTTCACCTTTGGAAATATATTGAATACTTTTCCACTGCATTTTAATAGATTGCAACTTCTACTTTGCATTTGCAAAACACATTTTCACTTTTTTAATTTTATTTTTCTTTTCTTTCTTCCCAATTTCAATATGGAATTTATCAATAAAACATTTCGCACATTAACTTATTTGAATACTTCTTTACTATATTTTAGTAGATTGCAGCCTTTACTATGCATTTATAAAACACAATTTCATTTTTTTTTTTTTTTTGATATTTACTTATTTATCACTTTTTTTCATTTGCAATTTAAGCACTTCACCGATAGGATAAGCTGAATTTATACACTTCACTTCATTAAAACAACTTTAATTAATAAAATAAACTTCAAATTAATAAACAAAAAACTACTTCACCATTGGTATATTTAAAAGATTTTCACTCACATATTTTTTTACTTAACACTTACTTTCTTAAATCGCTTTTGATTTTACATTAATTGCAATACAATAGTCTTGCACTATGCATTTACAAGCAAAAAGCTTCACCTTTGCTAAAATATAAACAATTTATTCGAATCACTGCGCTTCTCAAGGCCCTCACTTGTGTGCACATATTTCTTCATTTACATATTTAGCACATAAATGAAATCAGCTCTTATTTTTCACTTTATTTCCATAAAATACTCACTTTATGTTTTAAATCACTTATAATTTGCAATATTTAATAGGAAAAATATTTGATTGCCTTCACTAATATTATTCCATTCACTGCAACTTCCATCATAGCTGCCTTGCTTATTTCCAATTGCTTATTTAGCTCTTTATTCACTAGCCCCAACTACTTTTTCATTTCGTTTCATTAACATAGAACTTTTACCTTGCTTTTATAAACAAAACTTTTCATATTTTATAATATTTAATATTATATTTTGTGATTTCGTTAAGTAATATTATTTCACTCACTGCACCTTCCCACACAGCTGCCTAGCATATTTTTAATTTCCTATTTAACATTTAATTAGCAGAGGAATTTTTAATTTCTCACTGTATTTTCATAAAATGCAACTTCTAATTTGCATTTCCAAAGAAATCACTTCACTTATTCAAAATAATTGCACATATTTAAAAATTTCTCATTTGATTCACTGAACTTTCCAATGACGCTGGCACTTCCTTCACACAATTTTTTCTCTTGCACAGTTTGCTCTTAAAAAACATAGCCCGCGCTACACTTTCACTCAATTTCAACCGAATGCAAGTTCTGCTCTTCACTTTTGTAGAAAAAACTTTAATATCAGTCTTATTTAATAAGAATTTCAGAATTCTAAAATTCACTGCAGTCCACCAGTTGATATTTTATTCATTTCCACGAAAAGAAGGAAGTTGACGTTTGACATTTGTATAACGGCGGATGCATGGAAATTTACAGATGTGTACGGGAAAGTAGCAACAATAAAAGCGTTGCATTCTTAAAGTGCAAAAAAGTAGCAAATATTTGAACAAATGTCAAAATTAAATATTTTGCAGCTAAATGTGCATACATATGTACATTTGTGACAACTCCGCCATTTGGCTAGAAAGTGCAAAATTATTTACATTTGAAACAACTGCCAGCAAAAAAATAAATACAAGTGATTTTTTTCAATTTGTCTTAAAAAATTTAATTTTTATTTCAGCCATCATTTCAAAGATATTGCCGTTTATGAGCCCTTTTTCGCGCAATTTATTTTAAGTATTTTTTTTTGTTTGTTTGTTTATATAGCGTTTTTTTAAATGCATAAGGTTATAAAAGAAATAAACTTAAATATACATAGAGAGCCGGGTGATATTGTACTTATTGCAATTTATTATATCGTTTATGAAATCCAATTTATTTTTCAACTAAAGGCAATAAGAATTATTACATAGTAATGTTTAGTGCACATGATATTTAAATTATTCGACGACACTGCTTTTTGAGAGTATCAATTTTTTACTTAACAATTTCAATTGTCTAAAGAAAGCAATACATTTTCGGCAACCAAAAATGAACAAGAAAAAACTATTTTTTAACAAATTATAAAAAGCACCGCTTTTAGTAACTTCAATTTCAAAACAGTTACACATTCGCAAAACTCAAGATCCTTTATTTCTAGTTTCTCAATACTTTCAAATGTACTGCACTGGTAGTTTACTGCTGTTTGTTAGCATCTAGCATAAGCAGATGCTGCTTTTAAACGCCGCGATTTCGTAAATCCTTCACTTTGTAAATGCGCACCAACCAATGCTCGGTTGTGTAGGCCTCTTCCAAAACATCCAGCTCAAAGTCTTTATTACCAATTTCGGCAGAACGTACGCGATCATAACCCGGCGGTTTACCACCCTCTGTGTACACTTGACCAAAGCGATAGTAGCACATTTTGTACATGAGACAATTTAGTAGCGTCGGTGAACCTTCTTTGTCCACGCGGAACTCGCCGCTGGGTGCATAATAGTCGCGCTCCTTAATGTGTGCGCCACGATCTGTGCTGCCACCAATGCGTACCATCCATAAGAATTTATTAATATCATCAGAAGAATAGCCGGTTAAACCGCCAAAGATTACAAGCACGTAATCAACGTCCAATTCACGCATGATTTCATAAGCTTTCTCCTCAGATGAGGCCATCGCTTGTCCAACACGTGATATATGCGTATTATTCCAAGTGTTATTGTCCACCAATATAGTGCGGTTAGCCATAGCAGTTATCTGGTAGCCATAATCCCACCAAGACATGATGCGCGCATCCTAAAATAGAAGAGCAAATAAAGTTTAGTTGCAAAAAATAAGAAAATATTTTAAAACAAAAAGTTTTGCTGTCAGCTAGTTTTATAGTACTCATGTGCGTTTCATACTCTTCCTATCAAGAATTTGAAGTATTCATCATGTGAAATTAACTGTACAACTTAAAACATATTGTGCAATCGTGCTCACCTCTGGTGTATTCATTTGAAGCCAATAGTATGCCTCTCGAAAATCATCGAATATGATGCGTCCACCGTCATGTGAGCGCGCACTAAGCACAATGCTTGGCGACGAATATGCTTCCGATGTCACCCAAGTACAATGGAAGGTGTAAACAATAAGCATGAACGTAATAATGCCGACAAAACCAATGGCAACTTCACTTTTCACACCGCTACTCTGTTGTTCAAGTTTCTTGTACTGACGCTTACTTTCTACGGGTTTCGACGGGCCGGCATCTATACATTTTATATACTTGGAGAGCAGATGCGATGTGGCAATGCCAGATAAGACACACATAACCGGCGCTAGCACGAGCATTAAACGCACCATTACACCCTGTGGAAATAAATACATTTATAAAACTAATTTTGCTTAAAAAAATAAATAATATTTACCGCAAAATAAATACTGGTTACACCATAAAGGATGATGAAGATATTCGAGTCGGTTAATTTCGAGAAGCAGAAGTACAAGCCAGCTGGGAATAGGAATACCAAAATCTGCAATAAGAAAAGTATGGATTTAAATTTATAACAGTAGTTTCACTTTCCAGTTGTCATTGGAAGTCAGCGATCAAAGTGTGAAGTAATCAGTTTGTGATAAATAGCAGCAAATGAATGAAAATTCACCGCCGCATATTTACGGACATTAAAGCGCACTCATACAACAAACTGTCATCAGTTAAAAGAAATAGTATTAAACATTAAATCAACGAGAACCTACCTGCAAATCAAAGTAGAACGACGACCACGATGTAGGTTGATGCTCCGACACAGATGCGATGATGGGAATGTGATTCTTCGCGTACGAAGGATCAAGCAGAGAATAAAAACGTCCCGTCCAGGGCGAGACTTTGCCAGTAATCGTCAGCACAGTACCTATCACGAGCACTGTAGTCAGTATTCCAGAGACTAAGGCTTTGAAAAGAATTTCGAAATTTTCTTTGGACAAACGAGCGCGTAGATAATCCACAAATGCGTGTATTTGACATAAACCGAAGGTGCCAAGCGCCTGTAAGAGAAAAAAAATTTACAAATTACTATTAAGTATTGAAAATATAAAAAAAAAATATATATATTTTTAAACATTATAATTTTTCAGCTTAGTGTTTAGTACTCATGTGTGTTTCATACTCTTCCTATCAAGAAATCACAGTAATCATCATTGACATTACAAACAATAATAAAATAAAAATTATTTGTAATATTTCTTCGAGCTTACCAGCATGTGTTCCGAGCTTTGTATTGGTTGAAAACCGACAAATGAAATCTGCATCGAGAGTATGGTACCAATGCAATACAATGTGCTATACGCCACATAAATTCGATGCGAAAAGCGGCCTGTGATCATTAATGCCAAAACATGCAGTGGTATTAAATTGATGAGGAACACATAACCACCCCATGAGGAAACCATGTAAAAGTAGGCCAGTGCCGACATGGTCGCCCAGAAAATGGCGCCACTTTTCACTGCCTTAATCCACAAATAGTATGTGAGCAGCATACAGAAGATAGCAATGCCCTCATTGTCAT